TGATATTTAATGTCGGGGATGATGCTGAAATCTGGGGCCTCAATTTGAAAATATAAGCCCTACTAAAATCCACCTATACTCTTTTATTATAAACGCTAACCTTAAATTCTAACCTAACTATAAAAAAAAAAAAGTTAAACAAAACACCTCAAAAAAATTATAAAATTTCATAATAAAATAAGTTAAAATTTCAATTTCGGCATCATCCCCGACATTTAATATCCTTATTCACATCAATTGTCACAGATCTTGTCATTCATCATAGGTATAGTCATTCGTCAATTCGTTAATTAGAAATTGCTTGACGAATGGTTTCGTCATTCGTCAATGACAAAAGCTTCGTTATTCGCCAGGCATCTACTTATAAAAAGTAGACCAATAGAAATATGCAGGTTTGTATATTTTGCAAATTCAGTGAATTCAGCAAATGCGCTACAGAATTTGTAAAATTTTTGCAATTGCAGAATTCTAGGAAACTACGTTATTATTGTTACTAACAGGTAGATATAAGCCGAGGTAAATCGATGTAAATCGATATAAATCGATGCAGATCGATGCAGATCAATGCAGATCATACCGGTTAACACTTTCGTACAAGGTTACATAAAACTTAAAATATCTAAATAAATTATTAAAATAGTATTATTTAGTATTTTAATTAAAATTATACATTCAAGTATGCTTTATTTGATGGGCCAATAAAAATTTTTTAGCCAAAAAGGAGATCTACTCCCTTTCTATTGAATAGCGCCCATGTAGATTTACAAATTGATCTACGAAACTAGCCAATCAGACAAATTTCTGCCCATGATGGCTAGGGTACTCCGATTTTGTAATATGATGTATTGGCCCGACGCATGACGATAGTCATGCTAGGGTTATTATCGCGAGGATCATCCATTTGCTCCGTGTAACCTGAAGTGGTATTTAAGGATTAGATAGGGTTATGATCGGCAGTACATTTTTCCTTCGCTGCCCGACTTGGATCTGGCTCTTTCGTGTGTGGCGCCTTTTTTCATGCCTTTGTATAGAACATTTCAAGATTGCCAAAAAACCATTAAAAGAAACAAACCAAAAAAAAAAAAAAAATGAGATGCGTTCTTAAGCGATCACTTGAGGAAATAGCACATGAACTTTAGTCTTACAGACTCTAAATTCAGCCATTTACGGTACGCTTGCATAAGTCGACATTGGTGCTTCAACTATACTTCCTCAAATTTTCAAGATAATATAACTGAAATATTGGGGATATGAAAAAAGAAACGTACGAACACTCTAAAAACGTCAGAACTTAATGAATGGAATTCTTAAAGACAGTCATCGCAAAAAAAAAAAAAAAAAAACAAAGTGCTTCAGCCCAGAATCTTTTTCGTAAATGTAGATCAGAAAGATAGGCACCAGGCATCTGAGAAGCTTTAGCAGATCGCCTTGCGTGTATACCACCCTAAAACATTTAAATCCTTGGAAAAAAAAAAAAAAAAAAACCATTAGCATCGCATCCCGCGAGAAAAGCATTGGTAGATGCACCTTGCAACAACACACTCCAACTTCTTTTAATCTTGAAGGTGAATGATTTTGATCAGGAGATGAACGTTGCTAGGGCACCACGTTAAAAGGGTTGAATATTTGGAATAGTGATCTCGGATCATTTGGAGGGAAAGCATGGGCAGATGCATCTTGCAAGAACAGGAAATTCGCTCAGGTTCCTAGGCGAAAAAGCATTAGCTGATGCAACTGCATGAATACACTCTAAAAGATTTAAAATTTTTGAATAATGATCTTGGATCACTGGGGAAAAAGCATCACAGATGCCAAAAGATGCGATAGGTATGTGAGCCTGAAGCTTTGGAATCCAATCGTTACGAAAATCAGTCCAATGGGAAGCAATGAAGGAAGCAAGTGTCGAATTTTTTGTGAGGTCCTTTATATTAAAAGGTTGCCTTATTAGCCATTCGGTAGGATCTTCTCGAATGTAACTTGCAGGTACGTCCGATTTTTCATCGTATGTTGATAAAACATCAAATCTCTCCATTTGATCATAACACCATGGGCAACTAGGAGGTTCATTTGTAAATCGTATAAACTTTTGACCTTCCCATGATTTTACATCTGGCAGCTTTATTTGATCTACACAAAATAAGCCGTCAGCCATTTTAAGTTCTTCAGGTGTTAAATCCTTTAGTTCTGTCATATTCCAAATACATGGTATATCACAATTTACTAAGGTTCCATCAAATTATATTTGAGGTGCTTCACATCCATTCGACCATACTGTTTAGCTGATATTAAGTATATTTTCACCTTCTGATTTTTATTTAGATAACTTGTTAAATAATGCCTTCTTTTCCATTCTAGAAGACTTGTAGGCTTTGTTTTAAGCTCATTTATTAGTGTCAAATTTGCTGTAAAATTTGTAAAATTTGTTTTAATCATTATTTTGTTGGTACTATTTAAGGTTGTTATAACAAACAATGGAATAATGAAGCATAATGCCAATATCGAATAAATAACATTAAGCATTTGTTTTGTAAAGAAAGACATTATTGTTAATAATGTGTATTATGCAAAATGTCTGTACATTAAATGTATAAATGAAGGTATTTATATAATTAAAATTAAGTACGTCGTCCGCATGTAACAAATATATTCCGCATGTAACCATGCATTCTAAATACCGACCAATGTATCTGGCGTGACAAATCATGCAGTGCAATTTTTTACATTAATTATGTGTGACTTATGATGTAAACTAGAGTTGGTAATCGAAACGAAACCTACGCGCAATTAGTTTCGGAAAGCTCTAATCCGAAACTAGTTTCGGATTTTTTACAGCTGTTTTCATAAATTTCTGAAATATCTGATAAATTCCGGTTAAAATATTTAAAATTAGTTAAAAATATTGGATAACATTACTGCTATTACGTATCACATTACGTAAGAATCAATTACGCATATAGGTATTAAACTAAACTTCGTTATAATCAAATTACGTATATCAGATATATTTACTGCTGTTTTCATAGTGGGGTTTTTGCCTTGAAAATCACCTTACGACATTTTCCGATCGAGTTGGATTTATATGTGAATTACATTTGACCTTTATTGATTCAATAGTTTATTGAATAAACTATTGAATTAACTACGAACTTTTCTGCTGTTACGACCATAATCGCTATTTCTAGTAGATCTGCTATATCTGCAGCAGATATGTTATATTTGCTATTTATAGCAGATATGGTAGTTATAGCAGTTTTGGCAGATTTTAACTATTTTTGGCTAGATCAACCAAACCACCTTGATTTGAATCCACCAGGGCGGCAAAAGTTTCATTTTTGATAGATCTGCGGTTACATTTTTGATAGGCGCAGATCATACCCTAAATTTAGATAGCGT